CACTGACCTCGAAGAGTTTGGAACTGGGACTTTTGCGGTCACCAAGTTCACAGCCCCTGTCCTCCACCGAGCCCTGCGGACATTGGTCCACGGAGCTTTATCCCCCCACGAGGTCTCCAGGAACAGGAAGCCCTCCACCCCAGGCATCTCCTCGCTGCCCCCTATCTGGAATGCTGACCGCGAGCTGCCCCCGGGGACCCGCCGGGATAAAGGGCCATGGGCTGTCCTGGAGCCCAGGTGTCACGGGGACCCTGCAGTGCCCAAGGCCCACCATATGGAGCAGGGAAAGGACTTCAGGGTGGCGTCGTCTTGACAATAGGAGAAAAGAAAGAAGACGGAGCAGTGTTCAAAGCAGGAGAGCAGGAATCGGTGTGAGCCGGGTGCCTACTCTGAACTGTGCCTCCGTGTGTTGCACCTGTGAGCTGCTCCCGTCCCAGGAAGGCTACTGACCGTAAGAGGGAGGGGGACATTGCCGTTCACGATGACCACACGGGGGTGGGGCGGGGTGGAGCACCCCTCATCAGGACAGCTGTGTGGAACGGGTGAGTTTCCTGGGAACGGGGAGGTGGAAGATTGCTCTCACGTCCACCCCGCCCCCACGTGACCCTACCACTCTCACACGGCCCAGAAGAGTGGCCATCACCAGAAGCCACCTCCAGTTTCCCCAGGGAATAGTCTCCAGGCGCCTGATTTACTCGTTGGCTGTCACCGCGGCCCTGAATAATAAGGCTCTTCCCGCAGGAAGGATATTAGAGGCCGGGACGGGAGGGGACAGGGCAGCGTGATATTTATTTCCTGGGCATTTGCTGCCATGAATCACGCGCCTGTCTCTAACCTGCTCTCACACAGCTCTGCGGGCCCAGGTACAGGCCCCAAGACACTGTCCCCGTGTCCCAGGGGCTGGCTTTCCTGGTGATGGGTTCCAGGGCCTGGCAGTGATTCAGGCTGCCTGTCAGGGACATGGGGGACACGTTTGTGTCCTGGGGATGCTGAGCGAGGGGAGGACCAGCCACCTGCGTCTGGGGGGGCCTCCAGGGCTCATTCATTCACTCAGAACATTCACCGCTCCTGCTCCTGCCTGCTGGGCCCGAGGCCGGGGCTGCAGAGGGCTGAGCCGCCCGCCTGGTCCCTGTCCTTGGGAGCTCAAGCCATGTCCCTGGCAGCTCTGAGCACTGGCCAGGCTGCGATAGATTCCTAGGTCTCTGTGCTCCCCTCTCCGCCATCTTCACCCCAGCCAGGCCCCGGCCACTTGATTAAAGGAGCCGTCCAATCCCTGCCTGCTCAGGTCTCCCCGCTTCCACCCCAGGAAGCCCTCCCCTGCTCAGCACCAGCCTGGGCGGCCCTCCCCCGCTACTCGTATCATCTCACTTAACACCCCCTTTACGGAGGAGGGAACGTGCCCGGGGCGCCCCTGAACTGGTGGGTCGCAGGAGCGGAATGGCACCAGGGTTCCTGTCTCCCTAGCTCAGCCCTCAGTGACGCTGGGTGGTGGCCACGGCGGGAATGTGTACGCCCTGGAAGTTGGCACAGGCCACGTCAGGTGGCCCTTGGATGCCAGCCCCTGGCTGCGCTGACCGAGGCCTTGCTCTGGGGCAGGACAGGTCAGGTTGGGGCAGCCGCCAAGAACCTGGAAGAGCAAGATGACTTGCCCCAGGGGTGGCGGCCTCAGCCCGTCTGGCGCTTTCACCATCACAAGGAGTTTAAACTCCGCTGTGGCCCCTGCGCCCCCCTCCCTCGCCCAGGTTAATGACCGCGATAAGACCTTGCTGCTACTGGGGGTCTCGCTGGAGGGTAACGGTGCGGTTAAGGGCGTGAGTAACGGCTTCTCACTGGGCTCTGAGCGCCAGGCAGGACTCTGGCCTGGGTGGCGCAGGGTCCCCCGCAGGGACCTGAGGTGTCTTCCAGGGTGCACTCTGTGTTGCTGGGCTTTCTTCTTCTTCCTTCAACCCTTGGTCTCAGTGTAGAGGTCATCTCCTTGGGGACCTGGCCATCCTGTCTACAGTACGCGTCTCTGTCCCCCAGTTTTCTCTTAATTATGTCTCTTTCCTTCACCAGACACAGGCTCCGTGGGTGGGGGCTGAGCCAGAGGAGCAGTCTGTGACCCCTGATGCTTCTCCGTGCACTCCGGGTCCCCGCTGTGGTTAGCTGTGCTTTGTCCCCGAAAGGTACTGGTCCCTAGTGTGGTGGTGTCGGGGTGGTGGGACATTTAAGAGATGGAGGGTACTAAGGTCATGGGGCACCACTGTCCCCTAACACAGACCTTGTGCCCATGTAACGGCTTGTTATAAAGAGAACCTGGACCCTGCCTGGTCCCTTGTTTCCTTTCTCCCCATGTCTCTCTCCTGCATGTGCTGCCACAATTGTGACACCCTCCTCTGGGGAGGAGGAGCAGAGCCAGCACCATGCTCTTGAGTATGGAACTGTGAGCTAGAGCAACCTCTTTTTTTCTTAATAAAGAACCTAGCATAAGGCATTTTGTTACAGCAAAGGAAAACCGTCTAAGGCCGTCCCCGATCTGGGAAGATCTGGCCCCTGCTCCTTTCCCCTGGCTCAGCTGCCCGTCAGAGTGACAGGATGAGGCCGTGGCAGGTCAGGGTGAGGTCCCTGGTCATGGAGTCCGAGGCCTGACTTTGCACCCTGGCTCGCAGTTCACTATCTAGGGCCTACAGTTGGGGGACAAAAGGGACAGTGTGGATCAGAAGTGGCGGGACAATGGGGCCCTCTCCCGCTGCTGCTCGCCCAGCACTCTGCAGCTCCCTACTCTCAGAGGCAATTTTCTTAAACACTCCAAATCTCCCTGACTTGAAAGAAAAAATCACTTTTGATATTATAAAAACAATGTTTGCCATTGGAGAAATTTGGGAAAATACAGAACAGTGTTAAGACAAAAGCCAAAGTCATCTCAGATGCTAGAGCCCAGCTCTCCGCCCTTTTCGTTTCCAGAAGGAGTCCTGCCCACCTAGGCCCGGACCCCGCCTCCTCCGGTAATTATAACTAACATTAAAAGTGCCTCCCGGACCAAGTTATTACTTCCAAGAATAATAGTCTCTGTTACTACAAGAAACTAATTAACAGCATGCAATGAGGGGGAAAAATTCAATTAATTAGTGGCTTAATAAGCACTAGTGACGACTCTGGGCCCAGCTTGGGCCTCGGGGTAAGAGGGATGGGGACCCCCAGAGGGCCAGGGGAGGGGGCTTCAGAGACTGAGTGAATAGGGGGTTCAGAATGGGTGGGGTCCCACAGGCTCCCCAGAGGCTGACAGTAGCCGAGAGGAGGGATCCGGGTCTATTTCTGGGAGGTTTCTGCGGGGCCTGGGGGCTGGGCTCTTGGCCCACCCGTGGCATCTGGGGTGTGTTTCCAGTCTCAGGGTGCCCAGGGGCATGGGGAAGGGCCTGCTTCTCTCTGTTCTGGGGCTGGGTGGGGAGGGGCCAGGCACGCAGGGACCTCCTCTCCCTGGAGCCCTCCAGATCCCCAGCCGGAAGCCCCACCTCCAGCCTGGCGCCAGGTCTGGTGGCTACCACCTTGAGGTAGTGGTCCCTCCCCTT